GTAGGATTTCTGACACTGGACATCTATCTTGACAGGAGCAGACAGCCTCCTCTTTCTCCCAGGGAGCAGCTGATGGGCTAAAACCAGCAGTCTTTTCCGTCGCAGCCCCACACTCAATCCACTGCCTCCACCAGGGCTCCTTCCCTTCCCACCCAGACATGTCTCTCTCTCAATAGATTTTTAAGGACATGGTCACTTTTGTCCTCCACAAACACATACAAACTGATTCTGAGCGGCCACAGTCCCTTCTCCAGGGCTGTTTCCAATAGGCCCATCTGATCGACATTGTTACCTTCTCTAACTATAGTCCAACCCCCACTCCCAGCCCCAGTTTGAAGGCTAGCCCGCCCAGTGACATGGTGACAATAATGGTTGTTGGGGCTTTTGGACACACACACACACACACACACAAACACACAAACACACACACACAAATGATTCTCCATGGCGTGGAGGAATTAGAGGGCCAGAGTGGTATTTCTACCACTACCGAGCTATATGTCTTAAGACAAGTCACTTGCCTTTTTGAATCTCTGTTTCTCTCTTTGAAAAAATGAAAGCATTGAACTAAGAGGTTGAAAATTGATGGTGTCTGAGTCATTGGCTCCTGGATATAGGATTTTGGGTTTGTTTGGGGTTTTTTGTAGGGGAGGGACAATATAGGGTTTAAGCATTTTTCACTTGCTTATGACTCGTTATAGGAGGCTTCAAATTAAAACCTAGATTTTTCCTAATTATAAAACCACTAACCTGCCTCTAGCCTCGATTGCTCTTGAAATTTTCTTTCACAACTCAGTCTCCCATACCTACTGTGCCTGGTATAAAACACAAGACACAACGAGAGACTGAAGGAAATGGAGAGAAAATAGGAAGGCAGAGGAACAGGCCTTAGCGTTGTAATCCTACTGAAGGCTGCACGCCTTCATCTACATGAGCAGGCACTTCAAGTCCTCTTCACCTTCAGCAAGCAGAGTTGTGTCACTGCATACCAAAGGTTGTTAATAAACCTTCCTCCAATCCTGGTGCCAAGTTTTTCTTCATACAGGCCAGCTTCGCTGATTATTTTCTCAGCATACAGAGCGAATAAGTCTGGTGAGAGAATACAACCGTGCCGCACCCCTTTCCTGACTTTAAACCATGCGGTATTCCCTTATTCCATTCTCGCAACTGCCTCTTGATCCATGTACAAGTTCTACATGAGCAAAAGGGAGTGTTCTGGAATTCCCATTTTCTCAAGGTCAGCCATAGTTTGTTATGATCTCCACAGTTGAACACCTTGACACCGTCAATAAAACACAAGTAAACATCTTTCTGGTATTCTCTGCTTTGAACCAAGATCCATCTGACATCAGCTATGATAGTTCTTGTGCCATGTCTTCCGAATTGACCTGAACCTCTGTGTAATGCTGCAACCATTGTTGGATGATCTTCAGCAAAATTTTGCTTGCATGTGATATGAATTACATTGTTCTATAATTTGTGCATTCTGTTAGGTCACTTGTCTTTTGGTTTTTTATTAATCAATTTATTGGGAGCTCTAATCCATAATTCAGTTACATCAAGCATAATTTACAATTGCTACCACCATCAATTTCAAGACATTTTCTTTCTTCTTGAACTCTTAGATATCAGCTCCCCTTTATCCCCTCCCTCCCCCCACCCTACCTCCCAGGAATCCTTATTATTATATTATTATTATCATTATTATTTCCCATATCTTACACCATCCAAGGTATACGTTCACATGCAATTCTATTATTTGTTCCCTTCGAGTGGGGTTGTACAGTCATCATTGCTACAGCTCCCCCTTTCACCCTCCCCACCTGTCTTCCCACACCCTCAGGGAGTCATTACACTCATCACTGTTTCTGAAGGGTTATCTATCTTGGCTTTCATACATCCCACGCTCTTAATTATACAAATGAGCATACGCAGGTCTAACAAAATTAATGAAGTAAAGCAGAGCCCATGATAGTAAGGAGAGGAAATATTAAAGAACTAGAGGATAGTTATGGGTTTCATTAGTACTATATGGCTCTCTAGATTTATCATTCCTTCTGTGGGTCCCTCCTGTGAGGGACTGTCCAATTATCTTACAGGAGGGTCTTGGATCTCCACTTTGTCCACATTCCTACATGTCAATTTGGTTGCTTGTTTTTGAAATTCTGAACTTATTCCCGTTGACACCTCATGATCACACAGGCTGGTGGGCTTCTTCCATGTGGGCTTTGTTGCTTCCCTGCTAGATTAGATGGCTGCTCATTTAACTTCAAGCCTTTAGGCCCCAGACACTATATCTTTTAATAGCTGGGCACAATCAATTGTCTTCACCACATTTGCTTATACACCCATTTTGTCTTCAGCAATCGTGTTGGGGAGGTATCATACAGGGGTCACTTGTCTTTTGAACAGATACAAATATAAATCTCTTCTAGTCAGTTGACAAGTCTTCCAAATGACTTGGCATAGGTGAGTGAGTGCTGCCAGTGTGTCACCGACTTGTTGAAACATTTCAATTCGCATTCTGTCCATCGAAGACCTTGTTCAGGCTAACGCCGTCAGTGCAGCTTGGTCTTCTGCCTTCAGCACTGTTGGTTCTTGATCACATACCCCTCTTGAAACCATTGAATATCAGCAAGTTCTTTTTGGTAGTGGCTGTATTTTGTCCATCTTCTTTTGATGCTTCCTGCTGATATAGGCAGGCAAATAGTCTATTTACCATAGACTATTGCAAATCAGGGCTTGAATTTTCCTTCAGTTCAAAATATGCCGAACACGTTCTTCCTTTTTCGTTTTCTAACTCTAGGCCTTTGTACATTTCATTCTAAAATTTTACTTTATCTTCTTGAGCTGCCCTTTGAAATGTTTTGTTCGGTTCGTTTACTTTGTAATTTCTTCCATTGGCCTTAGCTACTCTACAAGGAATGACAAGTTTCAGAATCTCTTCTGGGGTCCACTCTGATCTTTTCCCTGTTTCCTGTCTCTTTAATGACCTTTGGCTTCCTGACGTATGATATTCTTGATGTCATCTCACAGTTCCTCGGGTCTCCTGTCCTCGTGGTCAAGGAGCCAAACGTGCTCTTGCGATGTTCTCAAACTCCAGGTGGGCTACACTCAAGGCCGTATCTTGCCTCTTGTGGACTTGTTTTAATTTTCTTCAGCTTCCATCTGAATTACGGATGAGAAATTGGTGGTCTGTCAGGCAGCCACTTGTGTGGATTTAGGTGCAGATATTGAGCTTCTCTTTTGTCTCTTCTCACAGATGTTGTCCATTTGATTTCTGTGTATTCCTTATGGAAAAGTCCCCAAGGTGCCTTTTGTGTTGTTGGTCATAAATATTTGCGATGAAAGAGTCGTTGGTCTTACAAAATTCTATCATGGGATCTCTAGCTTTGTTTCTGTTACCAAGATCATATTTTGTTTCCAACTTTTGTATTCCAATCACAAATAATTATCAATGCATTTTTTATTGCATGGTTGGTCGATTCCAGACTGAAGACACTGGTAAACTTCTTCAGTTTCTTCATCACTAGCTTTAGTGATTGATGCATAAATTTGAATCATAGTTGTATTGATGGATTTCCTTGTAGGCAGATATCATCCTATCACAGACAGCATTGTTCTTCAAGATAAATCTTGAAATGTCCTTTTTTTTTTACGACGAATGCAATGTCAGTCCTCTTGAATCTGTCACTCCCAGAATACTGAACTATATGATTTTTCTGATTCAGAATTGCCGAGGTGAGTCCATTTGGGATCACAAACACCTAGAAACGCCACTTGTCTGTCAGTTTGTTATGCAGACTGTGGTGACTTGGAGGTTGCTGTGATGCTGCAAGCTATGTTAGTGGCATTTCGAATGCCAGCAGGGTCGCCCAATGTGAACAGGTTTCAGTGGAGCTACCAGACCAAGGACAGACTATGAAGAAGCAATCGGCTGACCACTTTGAAGGAATTAGCCACTGAAAACCTATGCACAGCGTGAAAACACTGTCAGAATTGAGTAACTGTGCTGCAGGAGACCTTTTGAAAGTGTTAAAAGGAAAGGAGTTATGTGGAAGATGAAGGTGAGCTTCACCCAGTCGTGGTATTTTCCAAGTTCCAATTATTAATAGATGATTACATCGGTGCCTCCTCGTTTTGAGTTGTGCCCCATCAGTACAAGAAGGTCCCAAAGGCCTTACTCCATTACATCATTATGATTAACTCTACTTTAACAAGATAATTCTTCCTCGGTCATATTTTGAGTGCCTGACAATATTCTGCGGCTTTTCATGAGGTTTTCAGTATCTGAAAAGGTTTTGCTGGTACTCACAAGGACACCCGATTCCTTCTTCATCGTCTGTTGTTAGTGTGGAAGCTCTGCTGAAACCTGTTCACGTTGAAACCGGACCCTGACGCTAGTTGAAACACCAGGGACATAGCTTCCAGCATGACAGCAACACACACATCACCACAGTACAACAAACTGACAGGCGTGGCTCTGTTCTTCGAAGCAATGCTTAGCACAAGTTCTGATGCAGAGCATGTGCGCAATAAGTATTTGCCGAAACAAGAAATCAAGAGCACATCCGAGAGTAGACTTGGGGCTGTGGCCTTCAGCACCCTCAAGCTTGGAACTGAATTCAACCTGCAGCCAAACTTGTCGGTCAGTAAGGTGAACCATAGCACCAGAGAGGTAAGCATTCTTTGAACAACCAGCTGCACAAAGTTGCAACATTCGCCCAGAGAAAGCTCTGAGGACAGGCAAGGTAGGAAAGAAGGCCACGTGTAAGCTGGAAAGCAAGGGACGGGACACTGACACTGTGAGAGTCAAGGTCACCCAACAGAATGTGCAAGAATGAAGATTGAATGAAAAAGGGTTTTCTTCTCGTAAACTTTCATCCAAATCACAATTTAAAAAAATTTTTTTAAGGAGAAACTACTCAAGCCAACCAGCTTCCAAGACTCTGATATGTTTTCTGTTTTTTCTCAGGGAGCCGCGTCCTTCCCCCAGGGCCATGGCACATCTCAGTCAGCTGAGTGGCCGCTTCAACTCAACTTGTGTAGACAACTCCACGGGGCCCAGCTGGGCCCATCCGCACGCCTACTACGCCCTGTCCTACTGCGCGCTCATCCTGGCCATCGTCTTCGGCAACGGCCTGGTGTGTGTGGCGGTGCTGAGAGAGCGAGCACTGCAGACCACCACCAACTACCTCGTGGTGAGCCTGGCTGTGGCCGACCTGCTGGTCGCCACCTTGGTCATGCCTTGGGTGGTGTATCTGGAGGTGAGTGAGCCCCTTAGGTGCACTGTCCACGTGGCCTCGTGTCTGTCTTCCCTGAGCTTCTGGCGTTCTAAGCTTGAACTGTTGCCTGAAGGAGGTCTCCAAGACTCGGAAAGAAAACTCCTGTTATTCTCTTTGAGTGAGGGAAATGAAGCTCTGAGAGTAGCCAGCACCCAGCACCCAGCACCCAGCAGCAGCCATGCAGGCAGGACCTGAGAGCTGGGAATGACTGTTCCCAAATGACTGCACTAAAGGGAAGAGGCACTTCAGAGAGTGCACATTCGTTCACTCTTGCATTCATGCACACTTCGTTCCTGTGCCACAGACGTCTTAGGGTTAGGGGGATTGGGAGAGGGAATTCGTGGCCACATTCATCAATTTTCCAACATATATGGGAGTAAGGGTGGGCCGGTGGGATAGAGGTAGGGGAGGGTGGAGAAGTAGTTTTGGGGAAAAAAATTATTGTACGTGAGAGGAAAAGAGAGAACAAACTATCTGTAAATAGATCAGCCTTCTTTTCATGACTCAATTGACTGCAATTCAGCTCTTTTCTCCTGAGGACGAGCTCTCCTCAGACTCTGCTACTGAAGGAACAGGCCAAACCTTCACAGGTATATTTTTGATGCCTACATTAATAGCAAAGAGCTCTTGTCAGTCAGCTAGCACAGCAGACCCTGGAGAATTCTTGTGGGGAAAAACATTTCTTAAATCTGAAAATATTTTCATTTGTAAATGTAAAACCGAGCCAGGGGTGATCAAGACAAAACATCTCCATTCACTAACAAGGAAATCAATGGGACAATTCTATTCAAGAAACAGATATTCTTCACAGGAAAGCGTGCAATTACAGAAGAGAATTTTTAAAAATAAAAGACACACTTTAATATACTATTAATATTTCTCTGCCGTGCTGTGTGTCATTCTTACGAGGTGTCCAGTAAAGGTTCACAATGATGCTATGATTAAGAGAAATTAAGATTCATAAAATTAATATCTCAGTTAATATTAATAGTGAAGATGACAGTTAATTAAGTATGACATATCACAGGAGAACAAAAACCTTGAGCATAGACTGCCTAGGCAAGAACCATATTAAAGAATGTCTGAGAACTAAAATTAGACTTATGAGCTCAAGGGAGAGGCAGAAAGAAAAGAAATAAAGAAAATTGGGGGGAGGACAAGAGAAAAACAACGAGGCTGATTAGGCTAGATTTAAACGGGGAGAATGTATTTAAAAGGGGAGAATGTATTTATTCCTCCCGGTCAGGATAATCCTAATGATAAAGAATCTTGTCATTATTTTGACTTTTAGTCAACCCATCTAGACTAAGAAGTCAAAGGCTACGTCTTTTTTCTTTTTCTCTTTTCTAGAGTCCAGAAATACTGTACCGGGCACATAACATGTGCTAAATGATCACGTGATGCAAAATTGATTATAAAAACCTTGTTCTGTAATGCATGCAGTAGATGGGTAGCTACTATTTATGCCATCTATATCTATTGCTATAACGAGATCCTTTGTTTGTTTGTTGGTGTTGGATAGTGTGTGTTTGGGGTATTTTTACATCCAATTATAATGGGATCAAAAAGGAGTTAGAAGCATGTGAAATCTCTTTCCAAAGTGCGGCGGAGTTTAGGTGTCATAACTAATATGGATTTATCAATGATTCATGGCACCACCCCAAAGTGTTTCTGCCCGCCCTACCCATTACAAGGACCCTTAAGTCTCCCTGGATGATGAATGTCAGGGGAGGAAAATGCAGATAGAGAGGACTTTTGCTCTAATGAGTATTTTAATTCCCTCTGAAATACAAACAAGCTCTGAGTGTCTGAAATAAAGTCACTTCAACCCAAAACCAAATCCACTGCCATCAAGTCCAACACTATTCACCTTCATGGAGTAGACAACATCATGTTCCTGCCAAGGAGCAGTTGGTGGGTTTGAACTGCTGACCTTACTGTTAGTAGCCCAATGCTTAACCCACTACACCACCATAGATCCTTATACAACCAATTTAGGATACTTTTTGTCCATTTTTTATTGCTTTCACAACTCTGGTTGAACCATATTTGAAAACTTCTGTATATAGATTGGTTTAGGAGATGGATGTTAGGATGAATCCCCAAGACCTACCCATGATACCACTTTCTAGTGACACCTGCTCATCACGGTGGCGCCCCATTGAAATGACAACTTCAGAAAAGAGCAGTCTGAGCCCGCACAGACCTGACATGAAATGTCCCCGTGAAGGGCTCTCTAGGTCGTCTCTGTTGGCTCGTCTAGACGAGGAGCTCTAGTGAGCACCATGATGACCTCTATCAAGCCAGTTATTTGATGTAGGTGCTCAGGAACCATGACTATAGCCAAGGGAGCCTACAATCATAAGAAGAAGATTGAGGTGGGCAAAACTCTCTCTGCACTGTGTAACACGTTTGGGTGCAGGGGTCAGGGTTCCTCTCCTTTGGTCCTGTCAACGTGCCCTAATCGCTTTCTCTGATCGTCATCTGAGAGTCAGTCTCCAAAGAAGGGCACGACTTGAAGCGGTCATCACTCAAGGCAATCAATAAAATGTGAGAAGGGTCTCGTCCAGGGGACCAGATTGCCCCATCAATGCTTTTCTTAGTCTTAACTACTCGCCTTTCTGGGACCTTCGGAGGCAGAGATAGTGTACCTTCATGAGAGAAGAAAGCCCCTGAGTCCTTCGGGAGACTATGTATAAATCGTTGGGTCTCCGGGAAAAGCAAACATGGTCCTCATTAATTCATCCTAATGATGACTCAGTTAACCTCGGAATTACATGATTATACCTAAAAGCTCCTTGGAAAGATGAAAGCGCGTGCTGTTGATCAGAGAGACGTCTGTGGGGTTGAGAGTCCCCAGGAGGGTAGGTGACACTTAAGAAGAATGCCTTTGGGGAGCCATTGGGATGACTAGCTTCACGGCCTCAAATGCTTTGATCTGAATACTTTCATCTTGTTCAAAGGGAATATTTTTCCAGGCACAAGTATTTATGAGCTAGGAATGTTTTGCCTGTATGTATTGGAAATTTGAGTCGTGTGACTTAAACCATTAGGGGTTATTTTATCCACGAGCCAGATAGTCTAATGAGAAGCAATTGCTGTTGGTGGCCCACCGCTCCCTGGTATAATCAAGGATGCACACTCCTCGTCTCCCTCTTCATCTGCAGCAGGCTCCTTACTTCCTCATTGTACTCTCAGGAGGGCCACGGTGGTCCTGGTTATCATGGCAGTATGCTAAAGTAGGATGGGGAGAAAGAGTAGGAAAATCCGTGGTCTTTTCCTAGAGTAAGGAGCCCTGGTGGCGTAGTGGCTTATGTGTTGTGCCGCTAATAGCAAGGCCAGCAGTTCCAGTCCACATGCAGCTCCATGGGAGAAAGCGGAGCTGTGTGTTCTTGTCCAGCTCTACAGTCTCAGGGCGCAGTTCTACCCTGTCCGTGAAGTTTCCCGGGAGTCACAATCAACTTGATGGCACTGGGTTTGGTTCCCTGGAGTGTATC